CCCCCCCCCCCCCCCCTCCTCTCTCCCAACCGACGACGCCACCCCATCTCGGGCTGGGCATTATCATTGAAGTTCGTATGTTTGCTTTTTTTAATTATTATTATTATTATTTTTTATGTGTCCCTGCGTTCTTTATACAGGTACCCATTGAATGATTGATTGGTCTGATTGCACAGCTGATTAACCTCTGCTGCTTCCGTTTGTCCGCAGGATGAGAACTTCCAGATTTTATGCTTTTTTTTTTTTCGTTTTGTTTTTTCTATTAGCTTGGCGCGCAGGTGTTTGACCCTCAATTATATGTTTTCTTGTTTGTTTTTTTTGGTACCATTTGTCGATTTATGCGGCGCATCCTTCCTTGCGCACCATTTGTCGATTTATGCGGCTCATCCTTCCTTGCGCACCATTTGTCGATTTATGCGGCTCATCCTTCCTTGCGCAGGGCCCATGCTAATCTTCTCGTTCTCTGTATCGTTCCAATTTTAACGGATGTCCCACCGAAGGACAACCCTCTATTTTTAATTTTATTTTTATTTTTTTCCCTCAATTATATCGAGGAGGTTGCGGGTTTGCTTCATACCGGGGCTAGGTCCCACTTGCACGAATTAAGAGATACTGACCGTCGATAGCAAAGATCAACGGCCCAAATCTCCTAATTTGCGCAAGTGGAACCTTGCCGCCGGGATTCCCTGTTGCCATGATATGGTGGAGATGATGGACGTACTAATTGGGCCATCAAACAGAGGTTCCAGAGATTAAATTAAAAAAAAAAAGATAAAATCAATCACATTACGAACAGGATTTGAGTGTTTTGTATGGGAAGTAACTGCACATCCGGAGACACGAGAGGGAGAAAAGATCGACTTGAATTTTCTTATCAATGAATTTTCTTATCAATGAATTTTCATATTGATGAATTTTCACATTGACGAATTTTCGTATCTCGATATATCAATCAATTCCACTGCTTATGTAGAATCGAATCAATCCACAATCTGTGGCGTTAAATCCAATCCTCTTTGCTACCGTCTTCCCTCGAACATAACGCACCCTGAAAATGAACGTATACAAGCCGTCTTTCCGGTCCGATGTAGTCAAAATGAGGGTGCGTTTGTGTGTTCGGGGGAGGACGGTAGTAATAACTGAACACCCGAAGATTTGAGAGGTGGGATGGATCGATGAATTTGCATCGATAGATCGATCAATTCCACTGCCCATATAGAATCGGATCAATCTACGGAAAAGGGGGCTCAGGCAGCGGATGTCCATCATATCCTGTACTCGGGTAAGGGAAGGCGGCTCAGGCAGCGGATGTCCATTTGCTGGAAAAGGGGGTCCAGCGGCCTCATGATCATGATACTGTAACTTGAAGCCGTTGACATTTCGCCCCCCTCCTTTTTTTAATTTTTTTTTTTTCGATTGACCTGTCATCAAACGGGCCCGCTTCGGAAAACGAAAACGGAAAAAAAAAAAAAAAAAAAAACGAAGAAGAAAAAGAAAAAGAAAAAGAAAAAGAAAAAGAAAAGAAAAAGAAAGCCTTAGCCCTCGTAGTTGGTAGGCTTCGTATAAACGAACTTTCTACATTTAGCTTCTATTTAGCTTCTATCGTATAGGTCCTATAGGAGCTATTGTCTTCCCTCGATTAAAACACACGATCATTCTAGCTGCACTTAGCGCAGCATTCGGTCCCGATGCAGCCGTAATGACCGTAAATTCTATTCCGCGGAAGTCAGCAGTAGTAGATACTGTGTATGTTCCACCAAAAAAAAAAAAAAAGCTGAAGTGAAACCAAATCTGGTGCGGCGTAATACTATTAAAATCTTGCGCCCCCCCCCCCCCCCCCCCCCCCCCCCGGGGGGCCCTTTTAGTCCGGAGTTTTTTTCTTTTTTGCTTTTCTTTTTTTATGTGTTTTTCTCTTATGAGGATTTTTTTACCCCTGTTTTTGAATATTGCCTTTTCCTTTTCTGACTTGTCAGGTTATTGATGGAAGTCGTAAGATTTGGACTTATAACTAGCATGCATTCTTGCTCCCGAAACTCTTTCAGCGGACCTTGATTGATCACGGATCGACGGGGTCGGACTGGGTGCTTTTAAATTAGTTATAGACTTTCGCTGCTCTTCGGCCTACTTTGGTGACATCTTGATCTTTCTTGAATTTGTTCATTGAATTTGTTCATTGAATTTGTTCATTGAATTGGTTCATTGAATTTTCTTGTTACTTTCATGCTTGCAGGGGTTTTAAGTAACCGGAGCGGTTCCCTCCCAGACCGCGTGGCCGCGGTCGAAACCGTCCGGCGTGCAACCATTTTGTACTATTGCACTCGTGCACTTTCTCGTACTCTTGTACTCTCTATATATATATCGTATACATATATCGTAGAGAGAGAGAGAGAGAGAGAGAGAGAGAGAGAGAGAGAGAGAGGGAGAGTCAAACAGAGCTACCCGGTAAACCGTAGGCAGAGAGGGAGAAGAGGACAACGAACGAGGGGCGTGACAAACTGTTTCGTCGGAGTTTCACCGACTCATCAGGACGCTGACAATATAAATATATATATATATATATATATCGTCACAAACAGAACTGCCCGGTAAACCGTAGGCAGAGAGAGAGAAGAGGACAACAAACGAGGGGCTGTGACAAACTGTTTCGTCGGAGTTTCACCGACTCATCAGGAGGCTGAACC